ATTATGAATTTTTTATTAAAAATATATTCGGTTTATTTGAAATTTCTTCAGATCTATATAACATACAAGAATTTTAAATGATATTACATTTGACAATATATTTTTAATATATCTTTTTTTTTTTCAATATTGTTTTGTCTCACCTATAACTTTTTTATTTTCAGATAAGAAAAAACAGATTTCGGTATGTTAGTAGGTATATGATACATTAGGATTTATGACGGGTATTACAATTTGTGTATTCATTGAGGTCTTCATTATGTTTGCAGCCGAAATTGATTAAGATGCGTTTAGTTTTTTTTGGATTTTTAAGAGGCACCCTCGGTATATTGCTTACTCTTTTATTCGATAAAAAATGACACTCTGAATGAGAATGACATCATAGGTCAAGGATAAAAGAAGTGCACGAGGATAGAAAGATATTATGGAGCGGCAGAATCTGCGTCGGCACGGAAGACGTGTACGACGGTTGGATGCGGTGTGATCAGAAATACAGACCGCAGCATAAGTGTCGCGTTTAATAACAGCGACAGTTGGAGACGATAGAAGAAGAGTGGCAGATCCGGCCTGAGCAGAGGACACGGGAGATGGGGTACACACACAAGGTGGCGTAGAAATCCGGAGAGTAGAGGAATTGCTGGATCGGCTACTTTTGGCATATTCGCTTAAAAAAAAACATATACTATTTAAAAAATTCATCCACTAAGTTTTAATCAAAGAGACTTGGAGAAAGATGTATTTTGATCGTAATAGGTTTGTGTCTTGTCTAGGCCGGTTAAAGATGTACAAATCGTATTTTTAATCATACATATGGTCATTTTTTGCAAAAATGGAACGGGTCCGAATCTTAAGCACATCTTTGGAAAAGCATTTTTTTTTATGAAATATATTTTTTTTTAGTTTTTTTTTGGTATTTCGAGTCAATTGTCGATATGAACGCATGTGACATTACATTAAACATATGCGAAAATGTCAAAGTTGACAAATATCAATTCAGAGTGTCATTTTCTAATCGAAAAAGTAGAAATATACGAGGGTGCCGTTTAAAAAAAAAAATAAAAAAAAAAAAAAAAAAACAGGAAGTGACCAAAAACAGCTGAATGCGTCAATCAATCATAATTTTTTTCAGAAAAAAAAAAAAAAAAAAAAAAAAAATTTTTTATTTGAATAATATAAAAATTATGGGGATGAGGCCGTTTTGAGACGCACACGGTATAATAAAGAAGTACCGAGTTAAAATAATTGTAGTTTTTATTTTATCCACTTCCTTTTATTCACCTTCCTTGCTTTAAAGGAACAGATTCCTGTTTTCTCTAATTTAAAATGAAGGACATGGCTCTCACGACGTTGTATTAGTAAGACACACGAGCTATGCATATATATATGTGTTTTTTTTTTTTTTTTTTTTTTTTTTTTTTTTTTTTTTTTTATTAATATTAGGGGTTATAAATGTTTGACTAAAATTAATAATTTATTATTATTTCAAAATTACCATAATTCGAATTATAAAATTTCTTTTGAGGGTAACGTGGATTTTTTAACTTATTTTATAGTCCTTTTTGGACTCTAATGGTTTTTTAAAAACTGGAAAAAAGCGAAAGTTTCGAATAAATAATAAAAAAAAAAAAAAAAAAAAAAAAAAAAACAATTATTTAATTATTAGTATGCTTCATTAAAATAAAATTACCCGGCTATGATACGGAGATTTCAGGTGTACTTGAGAAACGAAAGACGGTGTTGTGTTTCTCGGCAAAGTCGTCAGGGAACGACCATTACGACAGAGACAACCTAACTATGATGGTCTGCCTCAGTTATAAGCCTAACAACAATAACAAGACAGTGTCTGACCGCATGTTCCAGCTATTTATGAATGAGATGCTCAGTCTATATTTTATTTTAAGTCTATGATTTTAGGACATTTATACAAACTTTTTTACTTATTTTTATCTGCAGAATGTGCTGCCGAAGTTTCCGGAATACAATTCGGACCACCCTGTATACAGAATTGTTCAACACATACGACACGTAGTATTGGAGCTAAACCATTAGATTTTTACAAATTGTAAGTTTTGGGTTCGTTGAAGGGCTATTAGAACTACAATTGAAAAATATATTTACAAGATACAGAGTGTCCCAAATAAGTAAAAAATATAGTTATTTTTTTTTAAATGGGACACCCTGTATATTATTCTATTTTTAGATTCTACTATCGAAATAAAGGTAAATTTGATTAAGGTTCATCACACTTTAATCTTACCTTAGAACAAGCAAACATTTTTATGAAGAATGGATTTTTGTCAAAATGTCAATAATAAAAAAGTTTTTCCTGGTGTAAATACAATCCGGGACATACTGTATGTATTCTTTTTCTATGGTCAGTCTGTAATTTGTCAACACAATCGATTTATAAATACTGAAAAGATTAGTTTAAAAATAGATACCTATACAATCATATTAACAAAAATAATTGCAAATTTTATAGTGCGGAATTCACTAATTAACCTAATTTTTACATCACTAGGTCATGGAAAAAATAAACTCAAAAATTTAAATCAGTTCAATTTCTTATTTCAAACCAAAAATATTGATGAGAAATGTTTTGCTTATGATATTCACTCAGTAAAATAAACCGGTCTTCTGAAATATTTTGTAAATAATTGTACCTCATGTATATTTTCTTACTCTATGGGCTAGTTTGATATTTAATAATATTCTACTCCACTAAATTCTACCAAATATATCAAAATATAACCATCCTGTTTTATAAACCAGAACAATACAGCGTAGATAAGAAAAACTACTGGATTAGAAATATTTTCAATCATATATCACATAGTATGGTATGAGTGTCCTGCTTGAAGGACGCTTCAGTCAATCAATGATATCATTGTTAATTTGTTTATAGTTGAAGATGCAAATGCCAATCATCTCTAGTACCTACATATTTAATTAATTTAATTTTAATACGCCTACAATTATTGCGAGATAAATAAAAAAGTAGTTGTTGTTTTTTTTATATCTTTATAATTGTTTTCGCATTTATATTAATTTATTATAAATAATAATATACCATTATTCTAATGGATTTTTTTATATAGCCTGTCCAACGGAAGGAGCCACGACAGTGACATTTGTGTCTGTCATTTTAATACACAAGCCAATTGTATTTTCTGTCATTTTTTGCATGCTGTCCGTCGAAATCTTCCCTGCCTTTATTCGTTAAAGTAAGTAAAGTAAAAGAATCACACTGTATATTTTTTATTTACATCATTTTTAACATAATAATAATCTTCCTCAGGATAAAAATAATTTTTATTAATAAAAAAAATCTTGTGTGTGCCGTCGTAATTTAAATAAACAAAAGATTTGCATATTTTATTATTAAAAACATCCTGTTTGATATTCTCATAGAAATCAAAGGAATCGATACATAATGGCAAATTTATACAGTGCATTTTTTCCATTCACACTATAGACATACGACGTATAAATAGACACAAAAAAGTAATGAAGAAATAGTGATTTAAGGTGCTTAACTTTTTCAGAATCAACACTAGTTTGTTTCACGTACTAGGTGAATATATTTGAGACCAATTAAACTTTTAGATACGTAATCGAGGGGGCCCGATTTTTAAATTCATTGTTGACAGCCATAGACATATTCGGCGCCGAGCTGACTAACTGGAATTTAAATCGTCATCATTAAGACGTCATCCGTCTGACCTGTCACCTCCAACGCCACGCAAGGTCCATCCACGAAACTCAATAACAGAGCGTGATAATCCTCCACTACGCCTTTATAAACCTGCAAGAGCTCGTCAGCAGCTGCACTGCTGAGATAAAATAATTGTAGAGCAGTTATTCTGAACTTGGCTTCGAGAACAGGTCCCAATTTACCATGCGCCAGGCCGTGAGGCTTGATGACGAAACAAGTGGTATTGTGTAGCCTGATGGAAGCTTTAGGCGTAGGTGCCTCGCCAAAAAAGAAATTTGCCTCCCTGCGTGCGTGTTCAGTCCTCTTGGCTGCGTGAAAGCCATTCTCTACTTAGCTGTCGTTGTCGCAAAGGGCGTACAAGGTGTTTACAGAAAATGCTTGCAACTTGTAAGAGGACAATTAAGATCTAGAATTGCCCGAAGAAGCAGTATCTTCTCTAGTTAAAATTTGGTAAATCACAGAACTGATAATTTGAAAAATAAAACACCTACCATTATTGTAAATGTTTATTCCACTATACCAATTTCCATATCACCTGTCTAATATCTTAAAAAAATACTCAACCTCCAAAGCAGTGTCTTCATTTAAGTCCATACAATGAACCGCGTTTCTATACTTGTCACAACCAAACCTAGCTCTCAAAATTCCAATCACGATCTGCCTGGCTATATCCGGATCAGAAGGACCACAAATCTTCCTGAAATCTCCGTGAGCATCCACGTCATCCGTCTGACCTGCCACCTCCAATGCCACGCAAGGTCCATCCACGAAACTCAATAACAGTGCGTGATAATCCTTCACTACGCCTTTATAAACCTGCAAGAACTCGTCAGCAGCTGCACTGCTGAGATAAAATAATTGTAGAGCAGTTATTCTGAACTTGGCTTCGAGAACAGGTCCCAATTTACCATGCGCCAGGCCGTGAGGCTTGATGACGCAACAAGTGGTATTGTGTAGTCTGATGGAAGCTTTAGGCGTGGGTGCTTCGCCGAAAAAGAAATTAGCCTCCCTGCGTGCGTGTTCAGTGCTCTTGACTGCGTGAAAGCCATTCTCTACTTGGCTGTCGTTGTCGCAGAGGGCGTACAAGGTGTTGGGAGCATGTCCAGTTAGATGTGCTAGAGAGGGAGTAATGTTTAATGGATGTTATCCTCCAGTCAGCATAGAAAATGCTTGCAACTTGTAAGAGGACAATTAAGATCTAGAATTGCCCGAAGAAGCAGTATCTTCTCTAGTTAAAATTTGGTAAATCACAGAACTGATAATTTGAAAAATAAAACATCTACCATTATTGTAAATGTTTATTCCACTATACCAATTTCCATATCACCTATCTAATATCTTAAAAAAATACTCAACCTCCAAAGCGGTGTCTTCATTTAAGTCCGTACAATGAACCGCGTTTCTATACTTGTCACAGCCAAACCTAGCTCTCAAAGTTCCCGGCCTGATCTGCCTGGCTATATCCGGATCAGAAGGACCACAAATCTTCCTGAAATCCCCGTGAGCATCCACGTCATCCGTTTGACCTGCCACCTCCAACGCCACGCAAGGTCCATCCACGAAACTCAATAACAGAGCGTGATAATCCTCCACTACGCCTTTATAAACCTGCAAGAGCTCGTCAGCAGCTGCACTGCTGAGATAAAATAATTGTAGAGCAGTTATTCTGAACTTGGCTTCGAGAACAGGTCCCAATTTACCGTGTGCCACGCAGTGAGGCTTGATGACGCAACAAGTGGTATTGTGTAGTCTGATGGAAGCTTTAGGCGTGGGTGCTTCGCCGAAAAGAAATTAGCCTCCCTGCGTGCGTGTTCAGTGCTCTTGGCTGCGTGAAAGCCATTCTCTACTTGGCTGTCGTTGTCGCAGAGGGCGTACAAGGTGTTGGGAGCATGTCCAGTTAGATGTGCTAAGAGAGGGAGTAATGTTTAATGGATGTTATCCTCCAGTCAGCATAGAAAATGCTTGCAACTTGTAAGAGGACAATTAAGATCTAGAATTGCCCGAAGAAGCAGTATCTTCTCTAGTTAAAATTTGGTAAATCACAGAACTGATAATTTGAAAAATAAAACACCTACCATTATTGTAAATGTTTATTCCACTATACCAATTTCCATATCACCTATCTAATATCTTAAAAAAATACTCAACCTCCAAAGCGGTGTCTTCATTTAAGTCCGTACAATGAACCGCGTTTCTATACTTGTCACAGCCAAACCTAGCTCTCAAAATCCCCGGTCTGATCTGCCTGGCTATATCCGGATCAGAAGGACCACAAATCTTCCTGAAATCCCCGTGAGCATCCACGTCATCCGTTTGACCTGCCACCTCCAACGCCACGCAAGGTCCATCCACGAAACTCAATAACAGAGCGTGATAATCCTCCACTACGCCTTTATAAACCTGCAAGAACTCGTCAGCAGCTGCACTGCTGAGATAAAATAATTGTAAAGCGGTTATCCTGAACTTGGCTTCGACAATGGCTTCCCGAACAGGTCCCAATTTACCGTGTGCCACGCAGTGAGGCTTGATGACGCAACAAGTGGTATTGTGTAGTCTGATGGAAGCTTTAGGCGTGGGTGCTTCGCCGAAAAAGAAATTAGCCTCCCTGCGTGCGTGTTCAGTGCTCTTGGCTGCGTGAAAGCCATTCTCTACTTGGCTGTCGTTGTCGCAGAGGGCGTACAAGGTGTTGGGAGCATGTCCAGTTAGATGTGCTAAGAGAGGGAGTAATGTTTAATGGATGTTATCCTCCAGTCAGCATAGAAAATGCTTGCAACTCTTGTAAGAGGACAATTAAGATCTAGAATTGCCCGAAGAAGCAGTATCTTCTCTAGTTAAAATTTGGTAAATCACAGAACTGATAATTTGAAAAATAAAACACCTACCATTATTGTAAATGTTTATTCCACTATACCAATTTCCATATCACCTATCTAATATCTTAAAAAAATACTCAACCTCCAAAGCGGTGTCTTCATTTAAGTCCGTACAATGAACCGCGTTTCTATACTTGTCACAGCCAAACCTAGCTCTCAAAGTCCCCGGTCTGATCTGCCTGGCTATATCCGGATCAGAAGGACCACAAATCTTCCTGAAATCCCCGTGAGCATCCACGTCATCCGTCTGACCTGCCACCTCCAACGCCACGCAAGGTCCGTCCACGAAACTCAATAACAGAGCGTGATAATCCTCCACTACGCCTTTATAAACCTGCAAGAACTCGTCAGCAGCTGCACTGCTGAGATAAAATAATTGTAAAGCGGTTATCCTGAACTTGGCTTCGACAATAGCTTCCAGAACAGGTCCCAATTTACCGTGTGCCACGCAGTGAGGCTTGATGACGCAACAAGTGGTATTGTGTAGCCTGATGGAAGCTTTAGGCGTTGGTGCTTCGCCGAAAAAGAAATTAGCCTCCCTGCGCGCGTGTTCAGTGCTCTTGGCTGCGTGAAAGCCGTTCTCCACTTGGCTGTCATTGCCGTAAAGAGCGTGCAAGGAGTTTGGAGCTGTGCGTTTGCCTTCGAGAGGATCATCAGGGCCTAGTTCGTCAAGCCAGCGCTGGAGGGCGTTCTCTCCTACTAGTTCCATGGCTACTAGGGGTCCGGAAACAAGGTGCTCGAGAAGGAAAGGGAGGAGACTATCACCTTTGTAAGGTTCGTAGAGGTCCAGCACCTGAAACAGTGATATGGTTATATTTTAAATTATCAAACTATATTACTGTGTGTTGGATGAATGGAACGGAATATTTGGGAATAACCAAGACAGACCCCAAAAGAATATAGTGGATACGACAAAAGACCCAGATAATAGATGCCCGTCCACAGAAGCAAATCCCTCAAGTGGCAATGAGCAGGACACCCAGCAAGAAGGACAGACAACAGATGGACCATAAAAAGGACAGCATGGTAACTACGGGGAATCAAGAGACCTAGTGGAAGATCAAACTTGAGATGGGACCATGATATTAGGAAATTAGGGATAACTTGGGCCAGCATAGCCAACAATATATGTGAGGGAGGCTACACCATAATTGGAAATGGTTTGGTTTGGTAATAAGCTGAAAACGATGATGATTATTGTGTGTCGTACAGATAACAAAAAATACATAAATGTTAATGGTTTTATATTAATATAATACCAAATTTCTTTTAATAAATGAGTATGCTTCTCTTACCTCTTTACGTGTTAGGTTGCACATTTTCATTTTGCAAATTTGAAAACCTCGATTTTGAATCTGGTCGATGACTTCTCCCAATTTGCCAACCAACGACGGTTTGACGATGGTAAAAGTATGTTCTTTGGTCTTTCCTACGATGCGCTGTGTTCGTGTATCTGCGTAATCGGTGATTTTGACTTGCCGACCATAAATACGAATGGTATTATCTGAAATTAAAATATTCCTAGTGTCACAGATAAAGTTCAAAATTCACCATATGGGATTTTCCTATTTATTGTCTTAGGTGGAGTCTGCCTTGGATGATTTCTTCTGTTTTTACATTGAAATGGAATAAAAATTACATAAGGAAATTGAACCTGGCCTGTTGCCCTCGGCGGTATCTTTAAAATTTGACATTTAAAGAAATAAAAATGGTGTTTCCTGAATGAATTTTGTAAAATTTTTCTTTTATCGAGATCTGTCAGCCATGAAAATATTTGCACTTATTTAAGACTCACTCTGTATAATAAACATTAAAACGTCATCATTGCACGTCATCAATGACACCATGCGTCGTCTTATGGAGTTTGCTGGTGGTCGTATTATGATGTGCAACCAAAGTTATTTGCATTTCCCTTATAGCTATTTATGTAACAAGTTGCGAAATGAATGTGTTTTAAGCACGGGACGTAAAATTGTCCAACGAGGCGAAAACCGAGAATGCAACGAATTTCATATAAGATTTTTTGTGAAAGCGGATAATTTGAGATTTTCATGCTATTATTATTATTTATTTTTAAACATTTTTTAAAATGTACTGGTAATCGGTTTCTAAGGCATTGTTTATGCATTGTTTAATGACAAAGTTCTGTCAGGTTCAAACGTCCTACACATAGACAAACAAATAAAAAGAGACTGGCAAATTAAATGGCAAAGAGAGGGACAACGTTCCCGTAGCGCAACTCAGAACGCAAAATTTCGTTCTATTTATGTTGCTCTGCGCATTGCGTCTATTGGGCCCACTATCTCATTCTAATATAACAAGAGAAAAAAAAGCAGCCATATAAAACGTAATTTCTAAATAGAAATTAGAACAATCGCCTTTCGTTTTCGTGATCACGACAACCAAGATGACAACATCATGACAATTCGTCATGTTTGTTAATTTTTCTTTTGGTGATTTACCTTTTTTTCTAAACTCTCCATTTTATTGACTTATGAATATGGATAGGGAACAAATTCCTTTGTTCCATATAGGTATTTATATTTTGTTACTTATAATTTTAGGTTACACTATTTGTTATTTTATTTGCTGCAGGAGCCAGTATCATCTATTTTTTATATGTATTGGTGCCCCCTTTCTCTGATAGATATGTTAAAACCACCCGGTAAAATAAACTTAAGTAGTTATATTTATCATCTTATTATGAAAAAAGTAGAAGTAGTAGTGTCAAAAATATTTCGAACCTCTCTTAACGGCAACGGCCCAGCTACGTCGAAACACCGGTTCCCATTAGAACACCGAAGTTAAGCGACGTAAGGCGATGCTAGTGGATGGACGGGTGACCGGTTCGAAACTTTGCATCGTGCTGTTGTTGTCCAAAAAAGTAAAAGTGTCTATTGATACACACTGCTCATTCACGCCGGTTCAAGGCCGGATGAGATCGGATATCTCGTGAGTAAGAGTTAATTTAGACACTTCCTAAGTCGGTAGGCCATTGACCATGATATGGCCGAGGACCGCGGTTCGGATTCCGCGTAAACAAGTAGGTCCCGTCCAGTTTAGCCATTGCAGCAGAAAGGAGACGTTAACTTGAACCTCACACAACCTCTCTTAACATAACAAATTAATACAGTTATTTTTTTTTCATTTTTTGGGTAGGTAGTTTATAGCTGGTTTATAGTAACCAGAAACTTTATTAATATACCTATTTTACTTTTGTTTTAGGATTAAAACTGAACTTGAAAATGGTTCAGGATCATGATTCTCGTAAAGTCTTCTTTGCTTGGATATTCACTTTGTTATTGCAATTAGGCAGTTTTTTCGAAAATGAGATTTTTAATGCCCTTTAAAAAATTGGCCGATCGTTTCCTGCAACAGTCAGTTCTTCTGCATTTAAAATTGGTAGGTGGGTGGAATAAACACTGTTATTTATTGTTATTATATTATAAAAAGTTTATTTATTTTTATGTATAAATAAATATGTTAATAAAACAGTACAATTTTTGCTTTTTTATAATTTCTTATAATAGTAGTATTCTTTCAGTTTCTGAAAGAAACTGCAAATTTGCACTTACACTGATTTATTCCCTACACCACGTTCCTTTTACGTGGTATAGGGAATAAATCAGTTTAAGTGAAAATTTTCAGTTTCAGAATGAAAGAATACTACTAATAATGGCTAATTTAAATTTTCCGCCAGCCAGAATGTGCGATAATGTCTTACGATAGCTTTTATACCTATCTCTTTCTTTTTCATATAAAGCACACATAATAAAGAAAGATAGCAATAAAGACGTACGTCCTGCCATGGTCCAGCTAATTGGTTTCAAAATTGTTATTCTGAGTTGCGCTACGGGAACGCGGTCCCACTCTTTACCATGGTATTTGTCAGTCTCTTTTTATTTGTTTGTCTATGACTCACACTGTATAATAAACTTTGAAACGTCATCATTGCACGTCATCAATGACACCATGCGTCGTCTTATAGAGTTTGCTGGTGGTCGTATTATGATGTGCAACCAAAGTTATTTTAATTTCCCTTATAGCTATTTATGTAACAAATTGCCAAATGAATGTGTTTTAAGCACGGGACGTAAAATTGTCCAACGAGGCGAAAGCCGAGAATGCAACGAATTTCATACAAGATTTTTAGTGAAAGCGGATAATTTGAGATTTTCATGCTATTATTATTATTTATTTTTAAACATTTTTTAAAATGTACTGATAATCGGTTTCTAAGGCATTGTTTATGCGTTGTTTAATGACAAAGTTCTGTCAGGTTCAAACGTCCTACAATGGTCCTACAAAGTTTTGTGAAAAAATGAGTGATAATGACGAGTCTGTATATTCAACAAGCTGCTGAAACTGCGCTATCCACGTTAGTGCCCGAGAAGTCGAAAAACTTATACGAGACCACCACTTTGAAACCTGGCTCAAAGAAAGACATGTTGAGAATTTCACAGACAAGGTATTGCTAGCCTATTTCCTGAAGTTATCCACTACCTTAAAGCCGTCAACTCTGTGGAGTAAATATTCGATGTTCCGCACCATGATTTACCTGAACAGAACGTATCGAAAAAATCAATGCTGTACCCATATACGAGACCACAACTTTGAAACCTGGATCAAAGAAAGACATGTTGAGACTTTCACAGAAAAGGTATTGCTAGCCTATTTCCTGAAGTTATCCACTACCTTAAAGCCGTCAACTCTGTGGAGCAAATATTCGATGCTCCGCACCATGATTTACCTGAATAGAACGTATCGAAAAAATCAATGCTGTAGAATCAATACAAATGGAGGCATGCCAAAAAAGATCGCGGAATTTCTTGGACTCTCCAACGCCACTGAATGCACTGGTCATTGTTTTCGGCGCAGCTCTGCAACAATGCTGGCAGATTAAGGATCGGACATAACGGTTTTAAAGCGACATGGAGGTTTGGCGATCAAGCTCGGTTGCTCAAGGTTACATTGAAAATTCAATTGAACAGAAAACCGAAATAGCAAAAACAATAATGGGACAGAAAGATACGCCAAATAAGAAATTAAAAACTGTTCACGTAGAAGCAAAAGCTACCAGCATTGCCAGTACAAGAAATTTACTTATTCCGACTCCTACAACTTGCATTTCTCTTAGAGACGAAAAGTTGGATGCCTCTTGTATTCACTTTAATAATTTAAATAATTTTACCTTTAAGATTTATAATAAATAAATATTTTCATTGTTTCTAACGTTACATTTTTTCGAGGGGCGTCTCACTATTGGAATTACCTGTACATTTTCTTGGCAGGCGCTGGCAGTCATTGGCAGTCTTACGGCAGTCGCCTATAATAATTACATGGAAGTCATAGGCAGTCTTCTTAGCAGTCATTGGCAGTCGCTTGGCAGTAAAACGATATTTTGGCAGTACATCTACATTTTTTACCAAAGTGAGACACCCCTCGCATTTTTTACTTGACACTCTTAGATACTAGTGCTCAGAGAGAAACTAATAACTAAAGTGAGAGGGCTTGTGGAATAGCGCATTTCGTAGACAAGTTTGTTTTGTTACCGCGCATCCCAGACGCGCATAGCGTTTAGGCGGTCAAAAAAGGAAATTTTCAACTTTGCAAGTTAAACATTTGACAGGATTAATTAGATTGCCAGTAGCTTTTTCTATTTCTTAGTTCTAGAAGGAGATAACTAAAATCTGTTGATAATCGGAGCAAATCGGAGTAATAAATTGTTTTTAACTGATTGTGCCTGTTCTTTAGCTTGTCAGAAGAGAAGAATTATTGTCATTATTGATTATTTCAGATTCCACGATTATTCGGCATTTTTGTAATTTTTGTTTTGTGGTTGAGACCCAGACAAAACGTTTCTTTTAAAGGTAAGTTTTATTATTTTAACATACCTAATAGTAATAGTGAGTGCACATAATAATCGTACATTGCTAATTTATTTTTTTTTAATTTAAAACATCACATTCTTTTCTGATACCTATGGAACAACTAGGTATTATATCTGGTATTATTTCCAGTAATACACATTATTTTCTTTAAATGCTAGGTTCTTGTTATAGAATAAAGACAATCAAAAACATTAAATACCTACGGGATACCTACTGATACTCTGTGAGAGCTCCCAACCGTGCTTCCCTGTTCACTCCCAACCAAGTTAGATAAAAAAGATACTGAAGATTGCAGCCTTAAGTTGGAGTATGGAGTTAAATAAATTATTATGTTCCTACACAGTATTTTATTTATAGGTTTTAATGCTTTAAAGTCTAATAATAAATTTTCGTTGTCAATAAAATAATGTAAAAAAACTACGAAGATTTCTTATTATAAATTTGAAAGATTAAGATTCGGTTCAAATATACAAATTTTAAATTTTTGGCGCCGGTATATAGGTATAAATGTAACCTACTATATCGATAATGCGCTCATAGTTCGGGTTAGACGCCAAAGGCCGCGCCACTAACACAGTCTTCAAAAATTAACGTTGATCGGTCTCTCTCACTTTAGTTATTAGTGTTCTCTCTGCTAGTGCCTAAAAGAATGTCATTTTAGAATCTACATATATAAAATGCTAATGTTTATCTGTGTCGTCTCTACTGAAGTAACGACTTGCTCTAGAAAGTTGCTTTTTTTACTAAAAGATAGCTAATTGGCTCTTCTAAAAACTGTCGTCGCTGGATATTTTGTTTTTCATTTAATTAAAAAAAAATAAAGAGTAATTTTGTGATGTCGTGGCGGATGCGCCAGGCTTCAACTAGTCTTAAATAAACATCAAAAACTGTCAATTTCGAAACGCTTTCACAAAAAGGTATATGTGTATCTTTCAAAACCACAATATTATATTAAAACAAATACATGAAAAAATACAAAGTAACTAAAAATGCTTACCGACGAACATATCGCTCATGTGCAACTCTTCCATGCGAGTTCTTTTCAGGTAAACTCTGTGCAGTTCGCGATCGAACAGTTCCACGGTGTTGTCGCTTGGGTAGAAGTTGAGCACGAACTTCTTTTGGTACGACACTTCGTCATCGTACCATTCAGCGTGAAAGGACAGTTTGTCGTTGTAGTCGAATTCCATTCTGAAAGGAATTTAAGAAAAAAAAACGGTTATTTTTGACAAAATGTCAAGTGACAGGTAGAGATGTGTCAAATAAAAAAATAATCAGCCTGGCAAACCATAGATAAAGGAAACAAGTTTAGATTTGAATGCTCGGCTTGCCACCAAAACTTATAATTGTTTTGGGGTGCATACCAGGGGCCGGAAAGTGAAATAGCAAAAGCGGTTCCACCGTTTCCATGAAAATTTCAAATAAAATAGTTCAAGCCTCGGACGCTAGGTGGTAGTGCACTTAATTTTTAGGTTAAGAAGTTGCTACTAGTTATTGCCAGATGGCGTTCAATCAGATTTTTTTTGTAGTTTCCAACCATACTATTGTCAAATTCTCAAAAAATATTGTCATTGTCATAGCGCCAATCCATAGCGCCAATCATAATATTATCAAAAATGATTATGAAAACGTTTTTCAAACTATAATTTGTTATATGTGTTTTTATTAAACAATTCCTTTTGTTTGTGGCCCTAAAATATAATGTAAGTCTTTTATTTTTGCCATCACTTAAGTACCTATTTATATTTACTCCATTTACAAAACTTTGGGCGTATTACGTTGGTCTTGTTTTATTATAATAAACGATGTTTAAATATTTGACTTATAAATAAAAACTTTAAATAATAAATAATATTTACACATGTTTGGCTTTAATTTTATTTAATAATTGTATAAATTATACTGTTAAATCTCATTTTTTACACATCACAACGATACTTGTTATTAGTATTGTTGAATTTGTGTAAAAAATAAGATTTAATAATCAAATTTAATTATTTTAGAATAAAATTCATTCAGCGCGGGCTTCTTTAAAAAGCCCGCGCTTCGATCCATTTAAAACAAGCCCTACTCACTAGATGGCGCCACTTCTGTAGGACCATTTTTCAGTATGGCAGAGTCCATTCTTTTTCTAACTAGGTATATTCTTTGGGTGCATACTTTGAATAAGAAGACTAAGGAAGGAGCATATCAAAAATCTTAGGTACACCGCGATGGGCCTCAAATATGGCCGGCTTAAATTCCGGTTTATCAGTGTCGTTCTAACTTTATTTAAAAAATGTAAAACTATGATGTAGGTTAGACGTGGGGTAGACTCAATAATTTGTTGTTTTATTTTACGTTGTGAATAAATGTTGGTAGTTATTAAAATTGTTATAAAAATATATAATTCTAATAAAAATAGAGTTATAATAAGTATTTATTACCACAAACATCCGATACGCTACTGAAGCAGGTAATTCAAATTAACGTATCTAAATTCTTTGACATCTAATCTTTGACAAGTAATAAATAAAAGCTAAAATGCAAGAAAATATATAATTTAGTTAATTTAAGTGAATTTCATAAATGATCGGTTTACTACACGTATGTATATTATATAGTCACTTACTAGCGAAAAGTTGTTCTATTATTTCACTCAATTTTTGCCGAGATCTACCGCACGCTACACAACCAACTATTTTAGAGTCTTTTTCGATAAATCGCGATAGTGTCACTGTTAATTTAAGTGCTGCCACAATTTCCATCTAGATTTACTACCTTTATACAACTATCAGTAGTAGAATAAATAATAAATAACATAAAATAAGTTCCGTAAAGACTGACAAATCCACAAAATTTCAAATCAAATTCAAATGTGTCAAATGAATCGTCAAACAGAACTGTCAAGGATCCCCACCCTAGAGTGCTTTTATGGCGCTTTTTCCGCCCACCATGCATGAATACATGGATAGCATTATGCTCCTTCCTTAGTCTTCTTATTCAAAGGGTGCATACGTTGTACGGGATCTGGCGCTGCTATGTTGCTAAGAACAACCGTAAACAAGAACAGAAATAATTTTCTCTTGTCAAAGTCAAAATCTTCAAAAATTATAAAATCTTTCAAAATTTAAACTGCCCTCATTGAAAAAAATACCGAAAAATGTTTAAAGCGTCCATTTTCAAAGTAATTATTGCTATCTTGTAAGTTTAATTTAAATTTCATTATTCCAACCCCCTGATAATTGTGAAAAAGTGGCATTAAAAAAACTGAAGCTGTGTTAACTGTGAACTGCAAAAACCATCGTGGATCGTGGCACAACGTCGCGTCGGGTTCCAATGTCTCATAGGTATTTATTTCATACATGCCCTTATATAAAATACAGTTTTTTTTATATGCAACACCACTGTATTTTATTTAAAAAATTAAAAGAAAATAATAAATTTGAATAAGTAATATTTGGCGACAAAACTCCGGAAAAAGTCGAACCGCTCCGAAATTATCAAAAGCTTTGGAGAGCGACCGTAGTAAGAACAGCGCACAAATAGCGCCAAATAGTATGTACATTGTCCTTATGGGCACTTTCCAATCTAAACTTGTTTCATTTATCTATGATAGAATTTAATTAACGTCATATTTTTTGCTGTTTTAAAATGTTAAAGAAACACAAAATTTATTTAGTTCAATGCTACGGAAAGGGTGATAGTAGTTATCAGAAAATATGATACTTTAACAACAGCAAAGAATATGAAATTAAGCAAAATTAATAATAACCATCTATGAAAGAATGAAATCGAAATTATATTACCATAGAAACGCCTTTATATTTTTAGGACTTTTTGGGGAAAATTCAGCCATATTTTCAGTTTTTTTTCTAATTTTCTCTAAAACGGTATGGAAATTTGGATAACTATAAACGTTACAACGTTTTTTCGATCATACGGTACAAACAAAGATTAATCACTTTCGAGTCGATCTGGCTCGTTCTCACGTTCAACAAGATTCAACTCGCTCAAGAATTAAGCCGACTTGAAAGCAAATGTTGACAGCTGGGCAACTTTTTATCGGTCAACAAAAGTTGATTAACTTTTATTGAAACAGTGTTCTCGGAAGTGATTTTTAGTTGACCGATAAAAATCGCCTCGTGAGAACCGTGCATTAGTGTGTGCTGCTATTGGTTGTAGTAATAATTCAAAAAATTGTGCTTTGAGTTTTTTTAGAGTCATTTGTGATCATGTTTGTGTTAAGGTTAATTTTCTGATGAATGATTACTACTTAATAATTTGATATTATTTTCATTTAAACCTCAATTTCTTATCGATTTCACTTTTGACAACCATCTTGTTGCTGTTTAATGAACTGCACCATCATTGAACAAAAATTTGCTAGTACCGAAAGTACCGAAAAAAAACTGGAAATCCCGGTTCCTTAGAGGCATGGTACCGAAATTACCGGTTCCGAAAAACAGCTCCGAAAAAGCTATAATGTACCATAACCGTGAATCGCCCTATACAGGGTGAGGCTTAAATAAGTGCAAATATTTTTAGGGGTAGTATATTTTGGCCCCAGAAATGTGTGGATTTTTCTGAGCATTTTTTTTTGAAAAAAATCTTGACATTTTTTTAGTTCTTAGTTAAAAACATAATTTCTGGTAACTAGGGTTCAGAACCGAAAATTCCCGGTTCTTTTGAGATATCAAAGAACCGAAATTCGAAATTATTAATTCCCGGTTCTTTCGGTACCTTGGGGACTCGGTAACAATAACTAAACTAATATTCTTTTATTACGTGAGAAAGTAGTGATGCTATTTCTCATTGTTCTTGCTTCTTTTCTCTTTTGAATTTTCTGTAATATTTATTAGCAATTATTGCTAATAAGCATTACATTGTAAGTTTAAATATGTTATTTTATTATTTAGTACAATGTGTTGTTCAAAAATCACCTAACCAATATATTACTACAAAACAAACACATTAATGCTAAAGTTAAACTTGTTTTAAATTAATAAAAAGTTGTAGAAAATCTTTGAAATAGATAATAATATAAAAATATGTCATTATATATTTTTTCCGCGTTTCAGAAGATTTTCAGATACAGAAGAATTGTCATTTCGTGTAAAATGTGAAAATATTCTGTTTTCAAGCAAATTTTTACTCGATGATCAATTATTTTTATTTTATTTTATTGTGAACTCATATTTTCCTAAATACATCTCTGTGAAACTATGGCGAGTGCCACGACTATACTTTGCCTAGTTATAGACCACGACTATACACTATACAGCTACGTCAGTGGTCACGGGACGCGAGAACAAGGTCATATAAAGTTACAGGAAAAGAACAAAGGATTTGATAAGGAGTAAAGCTACTAGTTTCCTTATACTATGCTTTTACTATAACCAATGTTTATAAATATTACAAATTAGGTAAACAATTCATTCAACCGCGCAGATAGATATCTACGTTTTCATTACTCTGAACGTTGACGTAAGTACGTGTTAAAATAAAAACCCGGAATTTCCGGTAATAAAGTTCTTCGGTTCCCTGTCCTAGCTCGTGTTTTCCCCCGCCGGAAAATAGAAAAACAACGACGCTATCTCGTTTTCCCTTTAATCGGAAGCCGCGACCGATTCAATCACAGCGTGCGACGACAGATGGCGACGTTACGGTTAGCGACCCAGCCGAATTATCGGCCCTCGAGTGTTGCCCTAATCACAAACAAACCAACTACAAAAGGATTTTTTTCCTGTCGGCGAAACGGCTACTGGTTACGTACGCGTTTGCACGCGCGGAATACCAAGCAACTAAATCACAGGGCCTGGAAATTTTCACTCGATGCAGATGTATGGAAATGGCACAGACTGAAAGAAAAAAGAAATTTGCTATCAGATTGATAAAGAAATAAACTATATATCTTCGAGGGATAAGTTTTATCATTTATTTTTGATGATTTAAAAACATTTGTTCGGCAATTAAAAAATTACAGCATAACGCGTGGTATACTAATGCTTCCAAATCCAAAACAGAAACAGGGGTAGGAGTATTTGAGTTAAAAACTAAATACTCCGAGCCAATCGGTACAAACCGGCGTACCCAGCTCCTGTAAGGTAGCGATGATCAACCCCCCCCCCCATACATTCTACATTCTTCTACATCACTGAAAGATGCTTATCACACACTAGATTGAGTTGAATTGAGAAAATTTAAAAATT